CCGCGATCGCCCCGGGGGTGGTTTTGTGCTCTGGGGGAAGCCGAGGTCTCAGCCTGGAACCTCGGTGTGTTGGGTCAGCCAGCTTTGACCGAGCTGTGTGCGTGTGCTTAGGGAGGAGAGAGCTTTTTGTCTGGGTGGTTTTTTTAACCTGCTGGGAGGTGCCGTGGAGAAAGGGAGCTGCGGGTGCTCCGCAGGCAGGCGTTGCTGCGGGCTGCGCAGAGCCTGGCTGCACCAGCCCCCTTTCTCTCTTTCTCTGCCCTCTGACACCCTGTCACCTCTTCTTCTGCATTGCTCCGGTGCGAGATGCCACCCTGACACCACGGCAGAGCGCGAGCCTTGGACCGCAGGGTGAGCGGCTGCAAAGAGCGTGTTTTCCCTCCTGCAGCACCTATCCGGACCAGGGTCAGGTAACAGGCGCATTTTCCTTTGGCTGTGTAAAGAAATAAGGTTTCTGTAGGCGTCACACAGCCTGTCTCTTGCTTTGCCCCTGCCCGCCTGGCAGAGTCCAACCAGGGCTGGTGGTGAGCTGGGTCTCAAAGATGCTGAATTCCCATGGATTTCGTGGAAGCAGTTGCAGCAGGGAGGAAGGGCTGGACAGGCGGGAAGGCTCTAACCTGGTTCTGGACTCTCAGCTGTCCTGGCAAACGTGGCCACGAAACGCTGAGCTTGGCCCCGGTGCTGGTGCACTATGTGTCTGTGGGTTGGTTAGTCCTGGAAATTGTTGGGTGCTGAGAACCCAGCAGGGCTGAGCACTTTACTGGTTTTGCTTCCTTACGGTGAGGAGCTGGACTTTTGCTCGGGGCAAACGGAGGTGACTGCGTGTGCAAGGTGGCGAGGGAAGCCTGGTCTCCTGGGCTGTCGTCTGGGGTGTTGGGAAGTTTGATGGATAATGAGAAAAAGCCACAGGAACGGAAGAGCCGGAACACAGCACGTTCCTTGACGTGAGGCGGCCAAGCGAAATACCCATTGTTTGTCTTGTTCCTGTGCTGGTGGTGTTGGAAACCTGTAACTGAACAAGGTATTTTTGGGGAAGGAATCTGCATATGGAGGTGTTTGATGGTTTCTGCTGTTTTGACCGGGTGATGAGTAGAGGACGATCCTTCTGAAGAAACTTCACACAGATGGAGGTGCTCAGTGTCGGATGTGAACTTGATTTCTTCAAAGGTGGACTCTGGTAGCTGGTGGTGTCCCTGCACCCCTTAGGCACACAACCCTCTCCCTGGGCATCGGATTGAAAAACGCTGTCACAGGGAGGAAATCCCGTGCCGCTATCCTCCAGCTTGCTTCTAAGCACCAGGAGAAGGTACAGGGGGAGGGTGCTGAAGTCTTGAAGCCTCTTCAAAGCCCGGCCGCCAAGCTGAACCTATACATGTGGAACTATCCTCTAGGCACCTGCAAGCAGACGAGCAGCGGCAACCTCAGTATCCTAGTCTTCCTCGTTCTTGCCAAGGCTGCATGCAGGGGGGGAGTGTAGAGGGCTTTCCCGCTGAAGGGCAAAGGCGGGTGAGCTCCTGCCGCCACGCTCGTGATGCTGCGCAAATCTGGGAGCAAAAGTTCAGCCCCTCGAAGGGAGGAGGCGGTGAGGTCAGGAAATGCCAAAGCAGAGCTCTCCGCTCTTGATGGTAGTGCTGCGGCGCATTGCTTCTTGCATTTATGCATCGGGAAGTTCCCAGAGGAAGACTTATCCCCAAAAAATGCCAGAGCCAGCCTGGTTTGATTGAGGCGCACGCGGCAGCGTACAGCCCGCCGCCGTCTTTGCGCTAGGCTCTCCCCTGAACGAGTTGTTGGGCTGGTCCGTGCCCAGACTGGACTGGAGGAGGAACTCTACTGGTGGAACTTGCTCCTGGGAGTCAGTGTTGGGTCTGCCAGGACCAGCCTTGGGCTGCGGGACACGAGCCTTGGGGCAGGACCAAAGTTTCCCTTTGCTGTGGTAGCACTGTTGGGAGTAACTGCTGCCCGGTTATCTCTCTCACTCTTCATCTGGGATTTTCTCCTGTCTGCCTGTCCTTGGGAGCATCGCGGGGTTTCTCTGGTCCAGCGGTGGGAGCTTGCGGATGGCCCGTGCGAGCATCTCAGCTGCTTTCACCAGCTCCGGCTCCTCCAGCAGGTCCACAGCTCCTCCAGATCAGTGCTCTGGGCTGCTTTTTTCTGGTGTTGGGTTTGTTCTGGACGGGGCTGTTGGGTTTTTTTTGTTTAGCTAGGAAGGGCTTTAAGGCTAATCTGCATCGTGGTTATCTCACCCCGGCTGTAAAGCCTGAGAGGAGGCAAGGTGCAGGTGGCTGTTACTGCCCGGGGCTGGGTGAGGCTGCCTGCGGGAAGAGGGAGCCCAGTGTGACCCCAGTGTGACCCCAGTATGGCCCAGTGTGACCCCAGTATAGCCCAGTGTGTTCCCTGTACAGCCCATTTTAGCCCAGTATAGCCCACTGTGATCCCAGTATAGCCCACTGTGATCCCAGTATAGCCCAGTGTTCCCTGTACAGCCCAGTATATCCCAGTGTGATCCCAGTATATCCCAGTGTGATCCCAACGCCCTGCCCTGGGGTGCTTAGCAGGGACAGGTGGGATGTGGGGCAGGCAAAGGGGTCTGGCACCGCAGCACTGCGTCTGCCACCGCCATGTCACCCACCTCACTGCCCCGGTCTCTGCGCAGTGGTGCCGACCTCCCTCACCTGTCCTTTGCGTGCTGGATGCCTCAGTAGCGGAGGTTTGGGTTTTTTCCTTTATTCCCATCCTCCATGGGCTCCATCCGGCCGCTTTTGGAGGTGGCAGGAGCAGCTGGTGTGGTTGGGGCGCATTTGCCTATGCCCAGTGGTGCCCTCGCCTTAAGCTGGAGCAGGAAATTTTTGTCTAGAGATGAATCCGTGGTGATGCGAGGTCAGGAAGGGTTTATTTTTACCCGTGTGTCAGGGTTGCTGGGCGAGAAATGCAGGTCGCCTTGTTCTGCCCCTGAAACAGCTCCTGGGTGCTTCAGCGCAGCCCTAGAACCAGCACAAGGTCGTGGGTAGGTGTTCTCCACAGCCCTGATTTTTTGTTTCCTTCCAGGAAGAGGAAGTCCAGCCCTTTTCACGCTGCAGGTCAGGAATAATCTGTCTGTCCTGGTGGGGACCAGGATGCCAAAGCGATGCTCCCGGCTCCGAGGTTTGGCACCAGATGTGCTGAGGGGGGATGAGGCCGTTCAGATGGGGAACATCTGGGGCGGCCGTGGAGCAGCGATGCCTGTCCTATGGGCTGGGATCTCACGTGGTGGCCCGGGGCAGACCGCTGGCCCTGCTGGGGAGGCTGCTTCCAGCTGGCATTGGCAGCTCGCTCCTGCTCCGCCTGGGATGCCTGGAGCGGCGGGCAGGGAGAGCGGAGCTG